ATACAACTCGAAAATGAAACAAAACATAAAAGAGAAAAGGGAAAAGACAGGAATTTAGTTTTAAATGTAACATCATTGCATGTAATGCATACCTAATAATAAAAAAAAAGATAATATAACATAAAGCAAAATTATTTTTGGTACAATGTATTTTTCTTGGATAATTTATCAGTGTTGGTTTGACTCTATATAACCCAGAAAGCTTGCTGGGATTTCATTGTTTTTTTTCAGTGTGCTTACTTTGATAATGTATCCTGGGTCCCCATTTTGGATTAGCTAACAGTTAAAGAGGTTTGGTATCCCCATAAGAGGTTGGGAATGCAGAACTATTAATCTTTCAATAGCCTTAGAAGGTCAATAAAGCTGGGGTGAGGCATGGGTTACACCAAAGCAAAGATTAATGTGAGCGGACCACTCTCTGTCATTCTTCTTGTCTGAAAGGAGATGCATTACCTTCCCCCCACCCTTTGCCCCCCGCCTCTTTTAAAAAAATAAGTAGGCTGGCCCTGTCCTCTGGATCCCACCAGAATGAAAGCTCCAGGAATGCTGAAACTATGCATGGCCTACCTCCACCACATAGTAGGTGCTGAATCAATATTTGTTGACAGAATGAATATATCATGTTTGTCATGTAACAGACCAATGATAAGCATGAGAACAATGACCTTGTTGACTTGGGAGACCTTTAGTCCAGGGCAACCCAAAAGCTCTTGTGGAAAGCTTTTGGGTTAGGTTTAAAAGGCCTAGGTCAGGCAGAAGCGCACTTGGAGCAGGCAGAATAAGGGTCAGTGGAAGACTGTCTGGGGAGAGCAGCCCAGGCCTGTGGGAGTGACAGAGACGCTTGTGAAGAGCACAGAGTGAGCCATAGGTTGTCAGTGACCTTGTAGGCCCCAAACAGCAATGTCAGTAATTGAGGGTTTACAGTCCTCCTTAATTAAAAGTTATTTGACAACTTGAGAAGAAAAACCAAAGGATGTCCTCTAGAGAGTATTTCTTGGACCCTCGGGGGTATTCAAGTCAAAAGAAATGCATGACAATCCAGAAAGAAACCTGGGTCCTTTTTACACCTGCCCCCTGAAATGGGATCACGCTGGTAAAATTCACGATGGAGACCACAAATAAAGCTAAGTGCTTTACTCGTCCATTTCATTTATTACATCATCCCTTCTGTGCCCGCAGCCCAAGACAAAGACTGGTTCTGACCTCCATGGCTTGAACGGTCCAGGTTGATTTCTGTTCCTTGTCTTCCTCTGAACCCTCAATATACACTTTCCCAAGGAGGAAAAATTTCAACAGAAAAGTGTTGAAAGGTGAGTGGAAAGATGGGTTGGAAGCTCTTAATTGATAAATTATTATAGAAACAAAGAAAAGCATAAGGGGACCCCCCCAAAAAAAACACCTAAACAAAAAGGAAGATAACAAGGACAAGAGGTAGGGCAGAAACCTAAACCAGCAAATTAAAGACTTTAAACTTTCTGCTATAACTTTCTCATTATTCCCTATAACTTGATTTAGACAACTTAGGTATAGAAGTCAATTAGATGGGTATAGACTAACAGGTCAAACTTCCTAATAATGATTCCACAAGCGGAAAAGTCACCCTGAGAGGAGGAGGAGAGCTGAATCCTCTTTTAAAAAGAGATGATTTTTATCCTAAGAAATGCCAACTGGTATGAGCATCCATAAGTCACCAGGAATGACACAGATGTTTTATATTCATTTTCACTACCTTTGATGGTGAGTATTATCATGTGCCTAACAGATGACAAAACTAGGGGGTTAAGTAACTTGCTCAAGGTCACAAAGGATAGAAGAGGTAAAGCTGAAATTCTAACCTAATCTCTCACTCTTAAGTTTGAGTTTTTCCCACAGCACTGCCCATAACATATATTTGTTCAGTAATAGAAGAGTGACAATATTAGATTTCTCTTCAGGGAACTATTTTCCAAGACTGTATTTTCCATTGAGCTGTGTCTGAATTATTGATTCGTTTATAATTGCTATCCCTTACCATAAAGATTTATGTTCAGTTTGGGGAATAAGAAGTCTGTTGGAATGATAGTTTTCTTCATGACAACTACATCATATATAAATTAAAATAAACACAACTTCATAACGACCTGGCCAGGTGTTGCTAAGTATTATAATAACACATTCAACATCTGTGAGAATCTTGACAAAAATTACAAATGATATGCCAGGCAAGCTGTTGTTTCTAAATTAATGCATCCTACAAAAAAAGTTTCAAAACTCTCAGTATTCTATACTGAAAACATGTACAAACATGAGAAGAGAGGAGACCAAGTAGCTGGAATATGAGTAGAGCAACAGGAAGCAGATTAGGGAGTAGTCCTCTTGAAGGAGGGCATTTTCCAGGTATCAGGTAACATCAAATTTTACAATTTCAGCCTGGCCAGCATAGCTCAGTGGTTGAGCCTCAACCCAGGAACCAGGAGGCTACAGATTTGATCCCCAGTGTGAGGTGTGCAGGAGGCAGCCCATTAATGTTTCTCTCTTATCTCATCAATGTTTCTGTCTCTCCCTCTCCCTTCCTCTCTCTCTGAAAATAAGTAAAATAGTTAAAAAACAATTTTGCAGTTTCTCAGCAGCCTCCATAAAGTTCTACAGAACACATCTCTATTTATCCAGTTAAAGAAGGAGTGAGGCATGTGTTTTTCCTTGCTAACATTTATAATTCACACAGGGTGAGGGATCACAGTCAGCCCTCCCTAGCAGAGCAGTTACCTCAATAACATGCTGTTTCTCTGGTTACGGTGAATAATCCTTTTTGCTGTCTTTTTTTTTTTTTTTTTTGAGAAAAATTATTCATGTGTTATTGGCATGGAACTGGGGAAAAAGAGATGAGCTGAGCGAGCTTTCAGTAATTTGTTTAAATTTTATAATCAAATAGCAATTATATGACAATCTCATAAACTATCGACCTTTTCCTCTCATCCTCTATGGGGATCCAACATTTTGAACAGCAGAATCAAAACAGGCACAGAGACATTCACCACAAACCCTCTGAAGGCTGCAAACCCTGGAAAAGAAGGAGGAGAGACCAGATGGGACAAAGAGCCTTGAAGGACTGAGGAAAATCGTGATGAGGCTCTCATCACCACAGAGGGAAGTCCCACAGTGTTCACTTCTGGTTCTTCTCGCCTGGACTGGATCAGGTGTTCTCGCCTTTGGCCAACATAACGTCACTGAGGCAAGTTTTACAAAACTGCTGCCTGGGCCTTATCTCCTAGACATTCTGATTCATGAGAGAAGCTCAGGCAAACTCCCCAAGTGATTCTAAGGTGCACTGATCTAAATAATCGAGAGACATGAATAAATGCAAAGCATATTGGCAAGGTTTCAACATACTTTTTGCCTCACCAGAAGAAAAGGAAGCCTACAATCTCAAAACACGAGACCAAGACTATCACTAACAATAAACAATAACAATGAACAGTGGCACCAATAACAAAACAAAAACCCCTTCCAAGACCTACAAAAGGAAAGGAGAGAGAAGAATTTTGTGTGAAACTTTTCTCCACCCCCCTCCTGTAGGAAAGCAACATTTTTCAGTAGAATATTCTGTGCTAACCATTAAACTGGATGCCCATAAAGAAGTATGAAGTCAAACATCAATCCCACACTTTTCAAATGAGGAAACTGAGCCTCAGAAAGGTCAAGGCCAACAAACAAAGACAGAACTTGATCCCAGATCTGTCTCAAGTGCATAGATTTCTCTTCTCCATGTCTTCTGGTACGTTTCTCTGTACTGGCTAACTTAACAGGTGCTGGGACAGAGTGTAATTTCAAGGAACATTTTCCACTGTGGGATCTTGAAGGTTTCATGCTAAGAAACATAATCCACAGCTCTCCTGGCTATTAGCAAGCTAACATTGCATTGAACAGGTAAAGGGAAGAAAATAAAGTTGAAGGGGCAGATAGAGGGCTAATGGTAAAGGATCTTAAATGCCAAGTAAAGAGTCTGGAATGAATGACTGTACTAATTAATGAACAAATCTACATTTACTATTCTCAAAAACATAAACTCTGAAAAGAAATTAGGGTTATTTTTAAGTCAAGCCTTTTTAATGTTATGTTTACATTATAGTTTCAGTAGAGTTTTCCAAAGGATGAATTTAGCAGCTGATAAAATACAACACTCCTACTCAGGGCAGCTGGGCAGCCTGACATTCAGGAGTGGAGTTGAGTAGTAGCATATGTCACCATTAACAATAAAAACTTAACAGGTCATTAGTTTCCCTCAAGGTAAAGAGCATATTCTCAAATATAAATGGACAAATAAAATATTAGAACAGAGAAAAAAATAACCATTTGGACACTATAAAGACAGATATCTGGCTAAAACTTTGAACAAATATAAACCTAAATAAAATACAAAAACTAGTTCATTTTTTCTTTATATCTCCAACAGAATGATTTTATACCTTTTATATTTTTATAAAACAAAATGTTTTTTTTTTCCACCTTAACTGGACACTAAAAATTAGGTTAATTTAAAATGTTGCATACAAATATTTGTCTTTTCCTTTATTCAATATATCTACACACAGACATTTCCAATGCTTTTAAAAAAAATTAAAGCATTAAGATGTTTGGCATTTGGAATATCAGCATGTGATATGACATTAAATTAAGCAAATCAACTCAATGTAATAATTTTAGTTATATTTATTAATCAAATACTTAATTATCCTGATATTTTCATTGTATAGATCTTTTAGCCATAGGTTTTAATCCTACATGTAATCATACATCATGTGTACATGTATGTGTGATTACATATAGCAATCAATTGATATACTATTTTACTCTTGTATAGTTTCACAGTTTCTTGCCTTTTTCACTGTTATGATCAGAATTAGCCCAAATAAAGATAAAAGTCTCTAGGAAATATTGCTCTTGATGTCTCTTTAAAACCTTTCAAAGACTTTGTAACTTTTTATTCTTGAAAAGGATTAGAACAATGGCCCATTACATACCATAATCGGTGATTTTACAGGACACCAAATACAGCTCTTTCAGGTTTTGTCCTTCCTTAGCGATGACCTCCACACACCTGGAACACACACAAAAAGTGGTGAGATGCACTAATGTATTTCAAGTTAAATTAGGAGAGTTTGGTCAGGACCGTAACAGGAAGAGGTCAGCTTTTGATGAATGCCATAGCTCTCTTCTTTCAACAATCCTCTTTCAAGGTGTTTCAGGAAAAGGTATTATATTCCAGCTTTAAACTCAAGTGCTCTAATACCTAAATGACTTTAATTAAGTACATTTATGACTAGTGCATCTTTTACAACCAAGTGATGAAAAAGGAGATATTCCTATAAGAATAATGTTACATTTGGTCATAAAAGGCTAGTAAATATTTTCTATATAATGAATATATCGTTAATATTATAAAATAATATAAAAATGATTATAATGAAGTGTAGACTGTATATTAGATGGATGGTGATTATAAGTGGATGACAATATTGCTTATAGTTCAATTATGAATATGGGGCTTGGATAACTGAAACACACATTGTTTTGGGAAATTTTATTTAACATAAAATTTAACATAAAATTTGCCTTAAAAATCTATAACATTGATTACAGAAAGAAAAATCTTTGCACACATAAGAGCTTTAAGATCTTTTCATTTAAAGTGGTTTCTACTTAATATTTTAATGAATTATTGCATAGACACAGGTCATTTCAATAATACTAATATAGATATGTAAGATTTATAGTCTTTCTGGTTTAAGTTAAAAGGTTTTGAATGGTACACTCTGCTCTAATAGCCTTAGCGGGATATGTAGTGCAGAACTGAATGAACTTTTAAAATAATGATTAACAACACTATCCATTTTGTGGCTCAGTTCCCTATAATATCAGAAAAACCTGAACCATCACAGTGACACACAGGCACATGCAGCCTTCAGTACAGTCTCTGTTTTAATCTTTATAAATAGCAGGTAAGTAAAAGGGTAAAAGCAAAAAGAGTCATTAACCTTTTCTAGGAAGGAAGGATCAAGTAATTTGATACCTATGTGTATAATCCATCAAAAATTTACTGAGCAGCCATCTCTGTCTTTCAGATATTTTATTTGCTGTCTGGCTTATTTTCAGGTATCTCATAAAATGTCAGGAAATTGCATGCAATTTTGCTTCCCAAAAATTCATTATTGAAGGTTAAATTCATTATAAAAAAGGCATATTTTTCTTTAAAATGTATTTTTATAAAATATTATCTTAATGGAATGATAAACATTTCAGAGTTCCTCAGAATAACTGGATAAACATTCTTTTTGGAGTATTTTTTAAAAATATGATAAAAATTGATAAGGATTTCCATAGCAATAAAAGAAAACTTAAAGCTTTAATAAAATATAATTATGATTGATACAGTTTATTATGAAGAGAAATTTAAAAACCTAATTACAAAAAACTGAAATAAAAATAAAAACCTAGTTCCACATTTGGCTTTAATGTAGCATTTTAATAAAATCAGAAAAAGGGAAGGATAAAAGGAAAAAGGAAACATTACTGACAATAACCACAATTTCTATATAACTTTAAAAACTAATTTCCACATGCTAAGAATAAAAAATATAGGCCCTAGATGATTGTAAAATTTTTAGTTAAAACAAAAGCCTGACTAATTTCTATTATTTCAAAGAAACATATTTCACAGTCCTCCATTACCAACAAAAAATGTTAGTAAAATCAATATTTTGTACGGCCAAAATAAAAGAAATTAGTGCAGAAATAATCATCATATCATTTATTTTGTTCTCATTCTCTTTTCAAGTAGTTCAAAATGCCCAAATTTATATATTATTATGAAAAAAACAAACAAATGCAATATCCTATTTATGTTCCTGCTACTTGATTCTATATTAGATATGCTACAAGCACATGTAAACATTAAAGATACACAGGGCAGACTATCAACAGCAAATAAGACAAATTGATTTTACTGCACAAGTCAGATCAAATGCTATTTCATAGGCAACAGGAACCCGTATTCATGTAACACAAGATGATCAATCACTGGATGGAAACTGTCCTAAAGCTGATGAAAGGCCATGAGCATCGAGTTTCCTTTCTACACAGCAGAGAAAAGTGATTATGAGTAGATACTGCAAATATATTAAGCTTACTCAAGGGGCAATAACTGAGAGATAAGATTAGAAGCAAGCAGTAAGTACCTTTTAGAAAGAAGAAAGAAAAAGAAGAAAACTATAAGATCTTTTGCTTTTACAAAGGACCACCTAGGATTTTTGCTCTGTTTTTGACAGTTCAGTTACACGGTTTTCCAAATACTTTTAATTACAGTATGCTGGAAGTTATGTACAACACAAAACTACTCTTCAAACAAGAACTCATGAAATATTATTTCTTGGAAGATTTATAGAAAACTTTAATGTTTTGAACTTGAATATCATCATTTACTGATACGATATTTGAGGAGAGGAACTCCAAGTTCTGGGAATCTGGATTGAAATTGTTAACATAATAATAAAACACAAAATTGAGAGATTCAAATTGGTAGGTAAAAGAGCCGTTGTTTCCAGAGTTGAAAATGGAACTAGTCTGCATTATCCTATTATGACACATTGGTGTATAAATGGAACCCCAAGTCAGGACTCTGGCTGTTGCCTGAAGTGCTGTGATCACACTAGGCCTCGTGTCCAGGCAGCCTGTGCCTACAGCAAGTCATGATGGCACATGATGGGGGTGGTGATGGGGGGAGAGAAGAGCTGAAGGAGAGTCTATTCTTAAATATACTCACAGAAATACCCTAACATAACACAAGTCCGTGTACCACATTCACTCTAAATAATTCTACTCAGTTTTAAAAGAATGTTGGCTCTAGCCAGGGCCTTCAGTGAGTTAACATCAGAGCATTTCCCAGTTCACTGTACATATGGTCTGTAGGCAACAAACAAGGTGGAAAAGCTTAGCAACTATTTAAACTAAAGCTTACTGATCGTTTAAGCTTAAAATGATTTAAACTATAGGTGTTCATGTATGTTGTTAAAGGAGTGTTTTAAAAATGGCAGCAACAAGAGAGAGAAATATTTACAAGGTGATGACCTATAAGAAGGAGAGTGAGAGAACCAAAGACCACATTTCAAATGTTTGCTTCTCTATTCCCTCTCCTATTCAAGGATACCACTTAGGAAAACATTCATTCGTCTCCGTGATAAACCATAGCTAGTCACTGGGGCAAGCAATGAGTCCCTAAACTCATATTCCAGAATTCTAATATTTCCCATTATTACCCCCAACCCCTTTTCCCACCATCCCTAAGAGCAAACCTCAGAAGACCATATGGCCAATATGGGTCAGAACATTAAGGATTACCCATTTCATGCACGACAATCAAAGGAATCAAAAAATTTGGGAAAGAAGTATATCCTTAAGGAGAGTGACAACCTATATTATTATTAAAGAGAAATTCATAAGAAAAAACTGGAATAGGGGAACAATGAGGAAGAATAGCAAATACTGTTACAGTGGCCCATGAACATCAAACACAAACCCAGTAAACCATGTTCCTGAGTTCTGAGAAACAAAGGGAGACATCTTAATGAGAGGCAATAAAGAATCCGAAGACATGCATCCCAGCCTCACCTTCGTGAAACCACAGAATCACCGCCTGCCTTCCAGGAAGCCCGCATCAGCAAGCTCTATAAAACAGGGGCCTGTGTGAAGAATTCCTCTAGGCCAAATGTCCTCGGTGCATTTAAACATATTTTAGTTTATTCTGAACTGCCACCCCTCAGATTATTTTCCTACTTTTATGTTTTGGCAGGGTTGTGAAGAGAATAAAAAAAAAAATTGCACCCATTGTAAATCCCTGAGTAACAGCTGTTGAGTACACACATATAAACTCCGTTAGAATACTGAAAAGGGACAGAAAACCTGTTCCAAAGTATCCAGAATCTTCTTTATAATAACATAATTTTATGCTCACTTGCTTTGATAATGTTTTAAAATGTACCTGAAATATTTGATGAAATTTGAAAAGCCAGAAAAAACTTTCTTTTATGAGCCAAACAGGGTTATTTTTTTTTGTGTGTTTTGTTTTTAAAGAAGAGAAGGCATTTCTTAGTTTCAGTGGAGGGAAAATCTGTCTCCTTAGCAATAGATTCCTAATCACCTGATTTATGTGAAGGGTAAAGGTTAATGAATTAAGCTGTGTAAGCTTCAAAAGTATCAAAGGAATTCAAAAGAGCCTTGAATTATGGAAAACAATGGCCCATCCTACATACATACCAATTTTATGGGTTTGTGTTTTGGTTGTTTTTTTTTTTTTGTCTCCTGCTTAAAAGCAGGAACATGGCATTAGTGACAATTGAAAAGAACTAATGAGGAAATATGACTACATTGCTTGCAAGAGGAGTGTCCTAGGAGACCTTGTTACTGTTTGTGATGTGCTTCAAGCCCAAAAGAAGCTAATTGGAGCTGCCAGACACTGGTTTGCAGATCTCACTTTAAAGGACAGGCTCAATCACCTTAGAGGTGTGAAAAGAAATGCCCATTAGAGATGCATTAGTATGTGGCTTGCTGAATTTCTAAATAAACTTTAAGATGTTCTTCCCCCAAGTCACTTTTATATTTGAATAATTGATCTATCTTCAAGCAAAGAGGGGAAAAATATACGACAAGACAAAACAACCCCACCGATTTTAAACAAAAAGTATAAAGAGTGCTATAAAGTAATTGGCAAATAAGTGCAACGGGGAGCTTCATATGTTTAAGGTTGAATAAACGGGTAGATCAAACCTTAAAACTCCTGAAACACAAACACATCATAAAAGTGATCTAAATCTGGGGGTTTTTGAAATGGAGCTTCATTTTCATCATTTCTTGAAACTAAACAAGCCAACAAGCCACCCCACATCACATAGATTGTAAATGGGTAAAGGTATAAGAAGTTGTAACACACACACACACACACACACACAGAGAGAGAGAGAGAGAAAGAGAGAGAGAGAGAGAGAGAGAGAGAGAGAGAGAGAGAGAGAGAGAGAGAGAGAGAGAGAAATAAAAAGGGTCCAGAAG